TACAAAACAAGTTGTTTGTGAATTAGCGGGAAATTTTAATTATCAATATAGGGTGGTGATCATGAACCGATTGACGTATTAGACCACCATTGAAAACCCGGAAGTGCTGGACGGCCGTTTCGTCCTATTGTGGGACTCCTTAGCAGTGTGCATCCATGATCCAACTTGTTGGATTAGAACTCAGGACACATACTAACGCTTCATCTGTAGACAACTGAAACGGTCGGCATCCAATAGTGTTAAGGTCCAAAGTCAACCAATCCGTGAGATCTTCCATTGTAGTGAGGTAGACACCTATTTTTATTTGACACTGATTTGCTGCACTGGTTACGGCTTCTCACTAGAACTCCGAAAATTCCCTCACGAAGCTAATCACCAGTGAACATGTGGTAATTATTAGTATAGGGTTGTGGAAATTATTAAGTTTTTGATTGAGTTGATGAAACGATTGATATTAGACCACCATTGAAAACCTGGAAGTTCTGGATTCGAACCCCTTGAGCAGGATTGTGGATTCGCACTTCTAAGGAGTCCTACAATAGGACGAAACGGCCTAACATCACTCCGTTTATGATCTCAACCGAAAATGAAATTTTAATAGATCACTTTTCTTTACACTACTTTCTGGTGATGCTTTTCAGAAGAACAACGAAAGCTTTATAACTAATCTATCCAGCTCAGAGATTAACACAGCTCTAAAATACTTGTACTGAACTACAAATATTCTCTATCTACATAAGAAGGACTGAACAAGGATTCATAAATACTATATTTATCTTTAGTAATTGAATTCATAAGTCAATCTAATCTATAATAGCATGAAAAACCTAAAAGCACAGAATGACCATTTCGTCATAGTTTGTGACTCCTCAGCACTACGCATCCACAAATCCTCGCGTGGGACTCGAACACAAGTTCTTCGGTCTCACATGCAAACGCCTAATCCCCAAACTACTAAGCCGTCCTCCAACGGTGTTCATATCTTTAGATTGGTCCACAAAGATCACATTTAACTACATACCCTTGGTGTTGAACGTAACGTCCGATATTCATTGGGAACTGGCTACTGAATTATTATACTGGATAATAGAACAATTAAAAAGAAACATAATCACTTATTACATAATTCACTAAAGTTTAGTTAACATTTACCTTTCAATTTGATTCCTATAAAAAAATTTAAAGCAAGAAAAGGTGAATAGATACTATTCTTTCTTTCTCTATTTCTCGTTCTGAAAATAAAAGATAATACAACACGTAGAAATTGTTGATTTCACTTGATAATACTTCATTGAATCTTCCCATTGTTACTTCGGTCTACAATTGATTAGTCTCTTATTGGCATATGTGCTTATTGCCTCAATGTTGCCTGAATTCACAAACATTATAAGCAAAGATAAATAATGGCTAGTAGTCGGATCCAGAATGCGTGTTTTGTTCTGTTTGAAACTCGTAAGCTGGATGTACTTGCATTTCAAATTCGATATTTACTCTGTTACGCGAACTCAAAACGATTATCCAGTTGGCTACTGAGTCCTGATAGCCATTTTTTGTGAAATAAAGTGAAATTTAAATTCACTTGGTGTGGTTTTTATTTGTATCTTCCCATTGATGTTTAAGACTATAACTGATCAGTCTTATTGGCATAAGGGCATCATGTATATATTGCCTCAATATTGACTTAATTCACAAAGATTATGAGCAAAGATGAATAGTGACAATCAGCAGAATCCAGAATGCACGTTTCGTCCTATTTGGGACTCGTCAGCTGGTTGTACCTACATTCCAGAGTCCCAAATAAGATGAAACATGCGTCCTAGATTCCACTGTTAGCTACTATATATTTTCGCGTGAAAATTGTTGTATCAAATCAACTTACAGTTTAATTACATTGAAAAATAAAATTCTTAATAACATTTTCTTTAATAATTGAATTCATAGATTGATTAAAGCTAGACCACCATGGAAAATCTAGAAACACTGAACGGCTGTTTCGTCTTAGTATGAAACTCTTCAGTCGTTTGCTTTTTTCACAGTATCTAATTTCATTTTAATTAAGGTTTAGTTTTTTAAAAAAAAAACAATAATTAGCTGACAAAAATGAATCTCAGTTTGACAGGAAATTATGTAGGTCTATTTTTTATTTATTTGAACACATAAATATTGGTAGAAAACAGCACCAAATACATATGCGCCACACAAAATTTTATTTGTGTGTGGGCTGTGATACTTGCCGGGTTCCCAAACCGAAGCAGGTGGTTTTCTCAGAGGACCACACCCCGAGCCTTTGACCTAAAGGTCTAACCCACAATGCAGTAAAGCATCGTGAGGAGATGCAGTCCCATGGTAGCCAGTGACCACCGATTGGTTCATACGCCATTTGTTCCTTCAGGATACTGGATCCCATGTGCACCATTGATTTGGGATCCGATTAAAGCGCCGGACATTCGCTTTTCGTCCTCTCGTTTTTGTAGACAACACCCCCACCACGAGAATGCAGTGAGTAGGATTTCTCTCGCAGAGGCTATATACGCACGGCCATGTGAGAGAATTTCGAGAGGGAGGGCGGGCTCACTCCACTCTCGGCCGTATCATGGCATTTGGGGCGTAGGTCTATTAGAAGGATGAGACGGATTATTCTAAACTTGTTTCAATAACTCAACATAACAGTAATCTTATTTCTCACTTATCGGGATATTACTTACATACTTATGTATGTTACTCCTCGTGGAGGAGCATAAGCCTCCCATCAACATTTTCCATTTAACCCTGTACTGGGCAATACTTTCCAGCTTTTTCCAGTTGTTATTCATTCTTTTCATATCTGCTTCTATTTCCCGACGTAAGGTGTTCTTTGGTAGAGTTATGACGCCTTATGGTGAAAGCCGAGTTCTTTTAAAAGTCACGAGGCTGATACCCTTTCTAGCAACCAGACCAAAAATTTTTATAGGTACATGGAACGTCCGGACAATGTGGGAGACCGGGAAGACCAGTTAAATATCAACAGTTACAGTCAGTAAATTTGGTTAACATTTTTAAGCGACTACAAAATTTCTTCGAATGGATCTATCATTTTAATAATGCTTACATACGTACTTACTTACGGCTGTTGCCTCTCATGAAGGAGCATAAGCCGCTTATCAGTATTCATCATCCAACTCTGTCCTAAACTGTCCTTACTTTCCAGTTGTCTCCTGTCGCTATTCATTCATTTGATGTACGCTTCCAAGTCTTGAACAAGGTGTTCCTTGGTATTTCTTTTTTCCGTTTCCCTTCAGAATTTCAAGTTAGTGCTTGCTTCGTGATGCAGCTTGATGATTTCCACAATGTATATCGTATCCATCAATCTACTATGGGAGAGAACAAACCAGTGGAGGAAGAAATCAGGGAGAAACACTGGAAGTAGATAGGACACACATTGAGGAAAACATCGGACTGCGTCACAAGGCAAGCCCTCAATGGTAACTCTCAAGGCCAAAGAAAAAGAAGACCAATGAACACATTACGTCGAGAAATGAAGACAGACAAGCATGAGAAGAATGAGCAAAAATTGGATAGAACTGGAAAGGAAGTCTCAGGACAGAATGAAATGTAGAATGCTGGTCAGCGGCCTATGCTCCATCGGGAGTACGAGTCGTACGTAAGTAAGTAAGTAAGTAAGTGTGTAAGTATGTATGTATGTATGTATGTATGTATGTATGTATGTATGTATGTATGTAAGTAGGTAAGTAAGCAGGTTAGTAGGTAGGTAGGTAAGTTAGTAAGTAAGTAAATAAGTAAGTAAGTAATATCATATGTACCTCCATCGTCGTTTCTTAATTTTTTCTTTATTTGGAAGCTGATTTGTTCTCTCCCACAGTAAGCTGTTGCTAATGGTATCCAGTCAATTATCTAATACTGCAAGTAGGATCAAATTTTCAAATTGTCATTTATTATTTAACGAATGACAGTATTTTCTTGAGCATCATTGAAAAATAATGCTTCTTCACAAGATTAATAACAATCATATCTACTTAGCATTATATATATACAATTACTCTTCCACTTTGCTCTGCTATTCTCCACCCTAACGGGCAGTTGATTGGAATTTTATATCTTACACTTGTTGGTCGAACATGCCAACAAAGATATTCACGGAAAAGAGGAAGGCTGACGAACACACTACGTCAAGAATTAGAATTAAACAGTAGAAGAATCAATAGCGATTAGAAACAACTAGAAAAGAATTGCTTAGGGTAGATTTAGATGAAGAATAGTGTTGGATGGTCTATGCTTCTTGATGAAAGATAACAAACATAAGAAAATGGTTTCAAGTTCTGAATAGACATGATATTTAGTTATAAACAATTTTCCATAATATTGTTTTAAGCGTTGACTAGTTCTACTTTAATTACTTACTTACTTACTTACGCCTGTTACTCCTAATGGAGTACAGGCCGCCGACCAGCATTCTCCGACACACTCTGTCATGGCCCTTCTTTTCTAGTTCCACCCAATTCTTGTTCTCTATGTTAATTGATTTGATAATATTTATACTTTCACTAGATCTATCTATTCAACAATAAACTTATCATCCAAAAACATTGTCTACTTCTAGTGTAGTGAACAGAACAACCATATAGTAAATGCTTAATTTGCAAAATGTCCATCAATTGTCTGAAAATGACTCAGACTTCCTTTGTTCTTGTATTTTCATACAAATTGCATTCTGTCTCCATTCTTTACTATTCGATCTTCTTGTCTCTTTCTGCTGCCAGACATTCTGTTCTTGACTAATATCATATACTACTTATGTTTATATAAGTAGCATACACTACACTAGTACTAGATAATATTCTTTCAAAGGTATTCCTTTATTCTCATTCAACAATTTATAATTGAAATATCAATTATTCCCTTATCAATTATAAAAAAAGAATAATGATTTAATCGTTTGATTCATTATTTCACTCTCCCTAAGGGATATAATAATTAAATCAATTCACTGAATGTCCTGGAAACTAAGTAATTGATACGTTACTTTATTAGCTCTTTTTTCTCAACTATGCCTATCTATTTATTCAATGAATAAACTGTTCAGTTAACCCGTATTTCATGCAAATTTTGTTTGCTGTTTATGACATTGACCTAATTTTCTTTTCTTTTCTGTCTATTTTCTTTTTTCTCTTTCTTTTTTTTCTTTTTTCTTTTCTTTATTCATTTTTCATCAATATTTCAAGTTGCTCAAATCATTTGAAAAACCGAAAAAAAAAGAAAAATTTCTCTTCTGATTTAAAAGTGAAAATTTACTAATCCACTTTTCTTTTTAAATATCTCATTGTTGTTGTTGTTGTCGTTGTTGTCGTTGTTGTCGTTGTTGTGTGTGTGTTTTAATATTTTCATTGAAGATGATTCGGCAGGACATCAAATAGTTAATCAATAATTCCCCTGATATTGTTTGTTTATATTTTCTCATTGTTGTTTAGGATTGTAATTGATTAATAGTGAAGTGAATAATATGATGCAGTTTTTGAGTTGAACGGTATGGGGTTCGAGTCCCAGAGTGTAAATCAACGCTGGGATGAAGGTAGATTCAGCTGATGATGAGTGCTAAATAGGACGAAATGTATATAAAGAATTCCGTTGTTACCCATCATTCATCTTTGCTAATAAATTTATTGCATATTTTAATCAATTAGGATTATATAAATAAATGTGTATACATTTATGTTATTTGTGTAGTTCAGTCAAACTATCTAGAATAAAATGCTTGAATAATAATGATGATGCTTTGGATGATGATGATTTGGATGATGATGATTTGGATGATGACGATGATGATTTGGATGATGATGATGATGATGATTTGGATGATGATGATGATGATGATTTGGATGATGATGATGATGATTTGGATGATGATGATGATGATGATGATGTTGATGATGATGATGATGATGATGATGATGATGATGATGATGATGATGATGATGATGATGATGATGATGATGATGATGATGACGATTTGGATGATGATGATGATGATGATGATGATGATGATGATGATGATGATGATGATGATGATGATGATGATGATGATGATGATGATGATTTGGATGATGATGATGATGATGATGATGATGATGATGATGATGATGATGATGATGATGATGATGGTGATTTGGATGATGATGATGGTGATGATGATGGTGATGATGATTATTTGGATGATGATGATGATGATTTGGATGATGATGATGATTTGAATGATGATGATGATGATGATTTGGATGATGATGATGATGATTTGGATGATGATGATGTTGATGATGATGATGATGATTTGGATGATGATGATGATGATGATGATTTGGATGATGATGATGATGATGATTTGGATGATGATTTGGATGATGATGATGATGATTTGGATGATGATGATGATGATGATTTGGATGATGATTTGGATGATGATGATGATGATTTGGATGATGATTTGGATGATGATGATGATGATGATGATGATGATGATGATGATGATGATGATGATGATGATGATGATGATGATGATGATGATGATGATGATGATGATGATGATTTGGATGATGATGATGATGATGATGATGATGATTCGGATGATGATGATGATTCGGATGATGATGATGATGATGATGATGATGATGATGATGATGATGATGATGATGATGATGATGATGATGATGATGATTTGGATGATGATGATGATGATTAGGATGATGATGATTTGGATGATGATGATGATGATGATGATGATGATGATTTGGATGATGATGATGATGATGATGATGATGATGATGATGATGATGATGATGATAATTAGGGTCATCCTATTAGTTTATTTTAGATTCATTGATCATAATAGCTAGATTGGTAATTGTAAACCTTTGTTTACTATTTTGCATTTAGTTAAGAATTTGATACAAACCATCAAAACCTATGATGTTACTTAACTTCCTGATATTTTGATTTAGTTTCATTATGAATGTATTTAGTTGACTAGTTGGTGTATATGAGATTCAGTATTTTCTGGATTTTGTAGATAATATAATGTTGACATGATAATTAATGATATCAGAAAGAGGGTTTTGTATAGATTGTGGTAATTCCAATAGTTGTGATCATTATTCAATTGAATGCTCATCGCTGAGTAGTCCCACAATAAAATGAAACGGCCATCCAGTGCTTTCAGGTTTTCCATGATAGTCTAGCTTCAATTGACTCATGAGTTCAACTATTGAAATTACTACAATCTTCACCAAATCCCCTTCTGATATTTATCAACATATGCTTATTAGTGACTGGCTTCAAGTGGTAATTCCTGGAGTTCTAGTGAGAAGCATTAACCAATCGAGTTCAACCCAGTCAGTTATGAGATAGTAACTCACTGGTGACAATGGTGGATGTGTCACTGAATTTTGTGGATTAGTTGATGCCGGCTCAGTGGTCTAGAGGTTGAGCACTTGCGCGCGAGAATGATAAGCCCTGGATTCGAATCTCGCAAGGTGGGGTCATAGATACGTACTTTTGAAGAGTCCCACAATAGATTTTCCGTGGTGGTCTAGCTCCAATTGATTCATGATCTCAACTATTCAAATTAATGATATGTCAGATAGTTGGATTCGATTTAAAGGAACTCCTGAACATAGACTTTGTTCTAGTTTAATGTATCATACTCGATTAAATCTAGTTCCGACCAATTTGATTCAATGATATTTCCACTGAACTGTTGAAGCTATACCTGAGATCCTATGGGATATGTATGTAAAAAATAAATGATCAATGAACAGTAACGAATGTTATTTTTGTCTAATCCTTAGTCGTCATTGAATTCTATTAAAATGAAAGTCAACAGAATCCTAAAATAGTATCTTCAACCAACTAAGATTTAGCCACAGTTTATGCGAGTTGAGTTGACTAATTGCCAAATTACAACTTGATTAATATAATTCGATCCCCAGTTATTACAAACAAATATGGTATCGGTTGTTATGCAATGATCAATCAATGTGAGTTTATTTCTTCAAAACAAGTGAACACATTTTGGATTCAAATAGTCCTTATGGACTCGAGGCTGAGGCTTAAAAGTTCATTCTAGGAAGAATGTGCTCATGCACATTGGATACGGTAATAGTTACCATTATATTATTGATGGTACATCACTTCCACGCGTTCATGAACATAAAGACTTAGGAGTAATAATAACTCATGACTTGAAAACAGCTATGCATTGCAACACAGCTGCTGTCAAAGATTTTCATGCATTATGGTCACTTCGCTGAGCATTCAAATGCCTTGATGTGGAAATGTTTCGAATTTTATATCTCACCTATGTAAAACCACACTTAGAGTACTGTGTCCAAGCAGCTAACCCATGTATGGTAAAGGATACTAATTCACTTGAGTGTGTTCAGCGTGTGGTAACAAAATGAATGAAGAGTTTTCCTAAACTCCTTTATGAGGAGCGCTTAAAAAGCCTAAATATTTTTCCCTCGTCGTATTGTAGGACGCGATGTGACCTTATACTGGCATTTCGTATCTTTGATTATGATTTAGGTGTTAATATGTCTTATCTTTTTGTTCCTTCCAGTACTAATAATCTCCGAGGTCATAGCAAGAAGGTTCACAAACCGCGATCTAATAAACTTAAAGTGTGGTCCCGTTTTTCTCATCAAGCAGTCATTGACAGGAACGCCTTGTCTGAACAAATGGTATCAACACCATCAGTAAATATTTTTTCAAGGAGAAGCTGGACCTTCACTGGAAGGCAATCTGCCGAGATTAACACAGGTTCGCAAACCTACTAACCTTATTACTGAAGAATGAAGACTGAAGTCCACGTTAGTAGTTTCATGAGTTTAATTTTCTCCAAACTGTATAATTTGTTGTTTATCACATTGATTTCTCAGTAGAGAAGTCGAATTTCAAAAGAAACCAAGGTTATTAATCACATATTTCAACAGGCTTTATCGAGTCTGTTGTATTATGTTTCAATGTATTCTTAATTAGGAAATGATATTGTGGTATGTGCCACTGATTTCGACAGACATATAAGTAGTAGGTATCATCAATCGAAAGTCAAATACCTGATGGCAGAAGGTTAAGTAGATCAAAGGAAACAGAACCAGAACAAACAATGATTGGTGTGAAAACGAAAGAACAATCAAATCTGAGACGATTGATTGACATTTATATCAGCTTATCATAACTGATCGAGATCAATCTTTCCAGAAATACTTATTATCAGAATACTTTGTAGTGGTAAATAAATCCTCAAAATCAACAGCTCTGTAAGTCTTCGGCATTTGATTCTGACCACATTCGTTTTAATGAACTCACCTAGTTGAATACGCTCGGTCATGCATCCGTATCAGATCACGAGTAGGAACGTCGTACTCAAATCCTTCTGCAATCGCTAACCAGTTAAAATCAGTCACTTCTCAATATATTGATAAACTATCAAATATATCTTCGAACTTCATCACTTCTGACTTTTGATTTCACTGGATGGGAATGATCCATTTATAGAAGATGTTACTGGTTAAAGTGTTGTCAAACTAGAAATATCTGTGCTATCTTCAAATTCATTTTAATCATACTAAGCATTTACAAATCAATACTCTTTCTACAGTAATTTGGAAGACTCTCCTGGTCTCCAACATTGTATGAGCATTCCATGTACCTAAATTAATGTTAGCTCTAATTGTTAGAAGGGGCATCAGCCTAGTGACATCTGAAAGAACTCACTTTTCACCATGAGTCATCATAACTTTTCTAAACGAAAACCTTCTAACTCCCAGGTCAAAGTTTAAATAGTTTGAATTATTTTTTCTAGTTAGCGTTTTTTTAGTGAGTTAGTTTTCTACAGGATGGTGTCGCTAATCCTATACTCAACCCTCCTCCTTTATCCGGCATTGAGACCGGCAGTAACTTAAGAGAGGACTCCAAGCGGAGTTACAAATTAATACTACTTGACTATTTAATCAAAATCGAATGATATATATTCAATAGTTGAGATCATGAGTCAATTAAAGCTAGACCACCATGGTAAACTTGGAAGCACTGGACGGCCATTTCGTCCTATCGTAGGACCCCTCAGAAGTGCGCATCCACGACCTCGCCCCCTGCGAGATTCGAACCCAGGACCTATAAGTCTTGCACCAGACGCTTAACTAATTAGACCACTGAGCATCCAATGATGTTAATGTCTAACTTCAACTAATTCACGAAATTGTGCGACACATCCACCATTGTCATTAGTGAGTTACACTCTCACGAGACTGATAGGTACTGGGTTCAAATCCCGCGGGGCGGGGTTGCGGTCGCGCACTGTTGAGGAGTCTCACAATAGGACGAAACAGCCGTCCAGTAATTCCAGCCTTTCCGTGGTGATCTAGCTTTAATTGACTCATCATCTCAACTATTGAAATTAGTACAATCTTCACAAAAACCCCTTTTGATACGAATCATATATTGTCTAAAATGTAAATTTTAAGGTCATCACCACCACCATCGTCATCATCATCTTAAAAGTAAACAAACTCCAAGTATTTTAAGTTCACCATTAGATAGATAGATAGATACACAAGATTGTAATTGTGCAATTCAACATAGATTCAATAATATGGTATAGATAAACAACTGTTGAATATTCAATATAACATCAATATACATATATATATATTCATAATAATATAAATCATTTATAGGGAAAGTAAATGAAAGTAACGGTATACATATTGTACAATATAAATACAATTGTATGTATATAGTATAATAGAATAATGAAAATGCGATGTAGCTAAGCCAAACAAACATTGACCTAATTGAACATTAGAATAATTTTGGCATAATTCATTTTATTAAATAAAATTTATAATAAAATAATAATGAATTTTAATTAGAGAAATGGATTTTGTGAAGATTGTAGTCGTTGTTCATAGTTGAATTCATGAGTTAATCAATGATAGATCACTATAGAAATCCTGGAAGCATTGAACAGCTATCTTGTCTTAGTACGGAACTTCTCAACAGTTGGCATCTACGATTGCGCAGTGAACATCCAAAATCCTACCTCGCAAGATTCGAACTTAAGATCTATCAGTTTCGCACGAGAACGCTTAGGCTTTAGACCACTGAGTCGGTCGACATCGAATAGTGTTAATATTTAACTTCAACTAATTCATGAAATTGTGCCACTACCCATCATTGTCTTCAGTGAGTTACTATATCACAACAGACCCAGTTGAAATCCACTGACCTCTGCTTCTCACTAGAACTCCAAGATATACCTTTTGAAGCCAGTCAATAGTGAGCATTTGTTGATTAATATCAGGAGGGGTGGGATTTGCGGATATTATAGTAATTTTAGTGGTTGGACTTATGAGTCAATTGAAGCTAGATTATCTTGGTAAACCTGGAATAAATGGATGGCCGTTTCGTTCTGCTATGGGATTCCTCAAAAGTGAGCATCCAAGACCCCGCCTCACAAGATTCAAACTCAGAATCTGTCAGTGTCGCACGCGATCGCTTGACCTCTAGACGACTGAATCGGCTACCATCCAACGGTGTTAATGTCTAACTCCAGCTAATCCATGAAGTTAAGCGACATATCCACCATATTCCTTAGTGAGTTTCTATTTCACAATAGACCTGGTTGAACACTATTAGTAAATGCTTCGCACTAGAACTGCAGGAAATACCTACTGAAGCCAG